CCCGCCCCGCTTTTGACTCCTTGAGAAAAATAATAATAATCAATTAATTAATTACTTAATTAATCGAGTCAATGTTTCTATAATTAGTTTCTCTTTGTACGTGGACACGAGGATAATCAAAATTTTATTATTTGTGTTACCATCCAATAAAAATATTTATCATCGATGAACGTTCGAATGAAATTTTCGTTTGCGAATTGAAATTAGATCGTTAATAAAACAAAATAGATGAAAAGTTCGTTGTTGTTGTTGGTTTTGTCGTGGGTGGTTCGTTGGAATTTTCAATTTTCTCTCGTAGTTGTTTTTCTATTTTATGTTATTTTTTTTTTTTTTAGTATCCGACTAATCGAATAGAAATATTCGAAAGTTTATATGTTTCAAAAAATAACAATTTTAACAAAATAAAATAAAATAGAAATGCAATTATTCTCGTTACCAGTGACCCCTATATACGAATTGTATTTTCAATGTATGAACAACATACTTGTATAAAAGTCATAGGGTTCGAATTAATCATATTCTTAGTTTTAATAAATATAAAAATAGAAAAAAAGAAAAAAAAAGAAAATGAAGACTCGTAGTAGTAATACCTTGGCGAAACTCCAGAAGAGTACAAATGCATCCCACTTCAAGGACATCGTAACTGTATTTTCATTATCACAATTTCCTGTGACCGTTGCATCGTCGGGAACAAATAAACTTGCCACCTGGGAAATGAGAAAGGAAAATTTGTAAAAGTTTTTCATATGGCGTTATACTCGTAAATATTTATTTACGGATACAAGTAAATAAGTAAGAGTTGTGATAAACGTAAGATTTTGTTGAAAATTTTACGTTAACAGAATTTATATATATAAATTTATTATAATTAATGCATATATATATATTTATATACGTAGTAAAAAATCTTATTATAGTTTCTTACTCTATCTTCGCCTAAAATCGTGCGATATTTGATTGCAATAACGGCATCTGTTTGCAAAAGGATGCAAGCTTGTCCATTTGTACCATTCAGACGATAAATTGGATTCTCCCCGGAAATGGATTTATGATGTGTCGTCGTCGTTGTTGGCATCGACGTTGTTGACGAGGTACTTATCTCCAAATTCATTGGGTTCAACGCATGGAAATACAAAAATAAAATATAACGATATTACATGGTTGTAAGTAATTTTATTTATTTATTAATATCTATACAAGAAAATATTTTGTATATATATATATTATATATGTAAATATAAAAACAAAAACAAAAGTGTTGTTGAGAGTTTCAAATCGTAACGATCGAATATTTAACGAAGTTTAGATGTTTTGTGTTTGGAATATTAATAAAAAGAAAAATGTATGTCTACATAATAAAAAAAGACGCTGAACTGTAAGATTAAGTTGCTGAAGAAGTCCCAATAAAGGGACGAAACGTCCAACTTAGTTAAATTAAGTTCTACTTCATTTTATGTCCAAGTTACC